TCAGTGTGAAAAAACGGCCGAACAATTATTATTTAAAATCAGTCAGCACCTTTTGAAGATCTCCTTTTCTCAATAATGGAAAAAATTTGTCTACTAGTGTTTAATGCCCACAAGTTAAGTATTGTCGAAGGGGTATTTTTCAGTTAATGACAAACATAACAGTTTATTAAATTAGACTAATTTTTTGGTGCTAGATCCATTATGACGTCATAATCAATTTCAACTTTCCAGACTTTAAGGCTTAAGCAGAATTATGTACAAAATAGGGTATTTTCATGTCAATTTTCATATGAAAAGTAAACTGGTTAAGAAATTTCATATTGATTTAAAGAAGAGGCCATATAAACTTACAGTTTTTTTCCTTTGCCGAATACGAAAAAACTCCCATATTCTGGATTTTTCATTGAAAATGACAGTTTAAAATACAGTTTTTCAGTTTACCTCTTAAAAATTGTAAAGTTGTAGAGCATCAATAGATTTATTTCTAAGTTTTATAAATCTGTGGTTTAAGCTCCAATGTAAAGGTTGGCTTTCATATTAACATTTGAAATTTCTTCATTACTCGTTAACATCTAAGCTCCAATGTAAAGGTTGGTTTATCATATTAGGCCATTAACATTTGAAATTTCTTCATTACGCCAAGCTTTCTACCTAAATTCATCGCATTATGTTAATGGTCAATACTCAATGGCAAAGCTGAGTTGGTAATATATTGAAATACATTACATCTTTGTCTTTTCTTTATGATAGAGTATTTACAATGTGCAGTTGCAGTGTTACGAGACCAAAGAAGCCATTATAGTTATAGTCAGGTGACCATTAAAGCCCATAGGTCTTATGTCTTAAATTTATCACTATTACATTTTTTGAAAAGCTGGAGGGAAATTTAATTTAACTGTTTCTATATCTTCCGAGTTTCGTCACTTATCATAAATATTGATTTTAACTTAAAACACGTTGTAATTTTGTTGCTTCTCGAGCGTATTTGCTCATTGTTGATCAATTACACTATATCATTCTCTTTATAAGCACGCATGACTACAAACGTTATGTCAAGCGATAACTGGAGTCTGACAATCGGTTGGTGACACGTAGAACTCAATCTTCCGATCATCTGAGCTTCCCAGAATCCCGGGGAAAAAAAGTGTGCTATTCCGGAACCGATTATATAGATACACATATATTGGCTTATTCGTGGCATCTTGACGACATGTAAGATTGCGTAAGATGACAAACAAATAAACACAGTGCAGTGGAAACTTTTATTTTCAAACTCAAAACAAAATTCGGTTCTTATTGACGATTTTATAATACATCAAAAGTTGGATTAAATACCCGGCATGAAAATTATGACTTCGGTTATTGTAGGAGAACGCCCTAAGAAAATAATCAAACGACGGAAATCAATAAAAAAGAAAAGTAAGTTATTTTTAAAGTTTCTTTATTTCTTTTTTATCATAACAAGATAATATTTTTTGCGGGAAGTTTTCCGATAGTCATTCAGGTGCAACGAACCTGAAAGAAAACACCATCCTCGTTGATTATAGATAATATTTAAATCGAGATGAAAGTAAGAGTTTTTTAAAATGTTCTTAGATTGCATTAACCTTTAGATTAATACATGATATTACATGTAAAACCAACAAATTGAAAGGAAAATCGTTACCTTAACACGTGACACAAAGTTAAAGCGACCAGGAATACAACGAACGGTGGAGTCGTTGGCATACGTATGCAGTAAGTTAACTATTCCAAATACATAAACAATCTTCGTTGTAAATTTATTGAATATATTGTTCAAGCGCACGTAACCGTGTCCTGTTTAAAAAAAATCAAGTCAATTTTTATTCAAAAGTATTTTATTGTTACCTTGGCTTTTTTTTCAGGTTCTATAATTTTAAAAATTCATTTTTTCATGAGATGGCCTAGAAATTTAGGGACAGACCTATTTCTTGAAAAGAGGGGGCTATTGAGTTTCAATGGCGTGAACTTCCTTCCAGTTCTCCAGTCTTTTTTATATATGATGATTTTTTTTTTAAGTGGGCAAAATTTTGCAATCGTCACAACGTGCCATAAATGTTGAATTAAATATATATATATTTAATGAAACATTGTTACGATCGATTAGGTTTTTTAAAGTTATGATAAAGAAATACGAGTAGAATTTTATTCATAAATTTATCTTTTCAATGATTTCCCTTCTTTTAAAAGTGTTTGTTAGATACTGTAAATCCAGTTGGTTCACTTATAAGATGGGCGTAAATCACCGCTGATCCTGATAATTTAAGCATAAAAGAGGACCTGATCTTCTATTTATTCTTTGTTTTTTCCCCTTTCCCTCATTTTTTAAAATAATAAAGCTATCTGTATGGATATCCGCAGTGTAACATGTGTTTAGGACTGTTCTAGAATTAAACTACATATCAATTTTATATATTTCCGTCGTAATTTACATTGGAGAGACTGAATTAGACCATCTGTACGAAGGTTAATCACCTTGTTAACTGGTAACAACTGTTACAGTTTAACATTGTGGTTAATATCTGCTTAAATTCTTCTGCAGCCCGTCACACTACAACAACGAATCCTAGACTCAAAAACACAAGAACAAAGAGAAAAAAAAGCAATGGTTAGGCTTTATTATAGGCTAACTTTATTTTCACAGCACTATAAACATCTGTCAATAAAGGAATACCTCAACAACCTATGAATCGTTTCTTTAACAAATTTAAAATATATATTTAACATGCCGCTAGAAAAAAACATTGATCTTTGATTGACTTTGAACATATTTTATTATAAAGAGAACATATTTTATTATACAGTGCACATATTTTATTATACACATGTATAATGAAATATAAACAGAAAGGACAACAGACTTAGCCTGTATAAGTTCTCTCTATAATTCAGTATTGATCTTCAGGGGATTTTTTTTTCAAAAGTGACTAACACTTGAAATATAGGGAAACGTAAATATTTAATGAAAAAAAAAACATATTTGCTTCAAATCCACCTTTCCTTTTGTTTTGCCTATAATACGGGAAGTTGCCTTTTATGAAATGTCTATTCTCTTCATTGTCCTTTAGCATACATAATTTATTTAGATTTTATGGGTAGGGAAGCTAATATCTAACCCACACCATTGTCCCTTTTGTGAATATTTCCTGGTTTTCTGTTTGTATCTGATAATATTTTAGTGTTGGTTTGCTTGAAATTGTCAGATTGTGCTTTACAGTGCCGGAATGGTTAAGTACTTCATTATTCTTTGGTTTTTAAATTTTTTTTTATTTATTTTATATTTTGACTGCTAATGAGCATTTTAATTTGTTAGTATGTTCACGTATATATGTATGTTCACGTATACGAAGCTTTGAATTGTGAAATCAAAGCGAAGGTGGGGGGTGGTGAACAAAACATGTATTTGTCTTAAGATTCATTTTAATCCTCTGAATTTTTGTTAAAAATGTTCATAAGAACTTGTAAAAGAAAAAAGGTGATGAAGAAGGAAACAGGGTTTGTCAGACCTTCTTGAACTATATGAGAAAAGTACAGCTCTGTCAAAAACCGCAACAATAACATCTTTGCATTTTCGGGGTCACACACTTATGCATGTAGTAAGCTGACCGACGATAATTATCTACAAAAATGGTATATCTCGTTTTGCATTTTGCACCAAACAGAAAGTCTTCCATAAAGTTTGCTTACGAGTATTATAAATCGTTTTGTACTTAACGTTCAAATTTTATATCGTTTACTTGAGAATATTACATTGTTATCATAATATATATTTAAAAAGACTTCTAACTACTATGGAGAAACAATATTTTACGATAAACTTATTTGATTTTCTAATATTACTCGGATTAGGGACCTTGCACCTTGATACAATCGTTTATCATTCAGGTCGATAGCAATATCTGCTTTTGTCACAACGTGTCCTTAACAGTGCTATCTCATGGCTTCCATTGAATCGTAATATTAAAATAGATGATAACCTACTAAGATAAAAGGTCTACTGATACAGGGACTTTAGATATAAACTTACAAGAAAATCTGCAAGGTCGTGTGGTCAACTTTTTCTTAGTTGCAATTGTTTTTGCGTAAGTTTTTCAATTGTTTGGAAGGTTTTTTTCTGACAGGTATGTTTTTAAGACGATTATTGTTGATTATTTTAGCATAAAATTTGTTCTTCCGGTCAATCCATTTAGTCACGTGATACAAATGATTGACATTTTAAGAACTAAAATTGCTAAAACAAAATAAGCTTTTTTAATATTTCAGTTATATCTTCATAAAATGGTAAATTGTGTCTTGCCTTTAAGATTTAAAGTGCATGTGCACTGAATTTCATGCATCCTACATTTTGATACATTTTTGGATTAAACATATTTTTTAAAACGATCATTTAATTGCATTTTCTCTACATTCTCTGAGGCTACATTTTTTTGGATTTACAGAAATCTTTTAATAATTATTTTAATTTATGTCAATTCTGGGTGAAATAAGTTTTACCAACAATTAGTCTGTTTTTGTATGCACTTTAAGATGCAAGTGATGTAAATAGTTCCCGCGGAAAGAACGTGTTCAATTATTTACGGTTAAACATAAGAGAGATGGTTGTCATCTGCTAACATATTTGTTCATGTTTATTGAAAAGGAATTATGCTTAATTATGTATGTTTTAATACAAGGAAAGACTAATTTAAAACGCTTATTTCCGGAAAGTGTGAAAAAAGTTTAAATATAAGCTTGAATTTCACGTCCTGAAATGGAGTGTTTCCAATGAGGATATTCGTCGAATTTGAAAGAGACTAATTTTGTTTTCTAAAAAAAGTGCATTTATCCAGCGATTTTAGCGATGCTTAGTTTAGTTTTTATCGTACTGGACTTTTTATCTTTCGATTAGAAAGGTCCCTTCTAATAAAAATTTAACTTCAAAATTAAAAAAAAAACATAGAATCAGATAGAGTGTTATAACATTTGTATTACTCTTAAAGATGAGGACGATCTTCCAAAAATTCTTCCACCAAAACGACGACGACGAAATTCAAAAAACGATGCTGCAATGAAGAAAAAGTCTGTGGTCGTCACTGATGGTATGGAAAGATTAATTCAGGAATTTCCACGACACAATTGGTTGGAAAACAAGTATAAATCAGAGGAGATACCTCGGACTCACCCTGAAGAAATTCAAAATACTGAAGAACTTTATGAATATTCATTAGATGAAGATAAAATGGACACCACTGATCTAGGAGAAGAAAACCAATCCACAACAGGGACGGTTAACCCTGTTATAGACGAACAGGATGCAATACCCAACCAACAAAATACGTTCAGCCTTGAGGCCACAGAGATGACGTCAAAAAGCAATACTAGCGACGAACAAGAGGACACGCTGGACGAAGACAGGTGAGTAGACGTCAAAATCCCAGGTAACTGAAAAACGATCCCACTTTATTTCAAGATTCCATATCATGTCAAGATATCACATATTTCTCTATGACGGACCATTAATTTCGATTTCATTTTTTCTTTCGTCTCTTCTTCCACTTTTTTAAAACAAATCGTGCAAATAGTTTTATCCTTCATAATATAGATAAATCATACGGGTTATCATATTGCATTCATATGAGGGATATTTTTCTTGATTATTTTTTACTGCTTATTTGTTTACAGGATGAAATGATACAATATAATTATGTAAATATATGTAATTACTGTCATCAAAGTAACATGCTAAAATATATGTTGATAAAAGAGTTCTTCACACCTTTCCCTTGTATATTTACATATTCAGCGACTAAATGAGTCATGATACATGTATACATTACTATATATATAATAATAAGAGAGAGAGAGAGAGAGAGAGAATTTTATATCATCTTTAAGCAGATACACTTTTCTCATCCCCCTTAATTACATACATGCTTTAATATTTAGATATTGTCCACTGTGTTTTATCCCTCATAAATGTCTGACAAATATCATTATGATCACTTTTATTCTTTTTTTACTACTCCAGATGAATAAAAATTAATACACTCTTAACGCCTACAGAAATGAAAAAAAAGTTTATCGTGCAAATACTTCGAAGATTAAGAAGAAGGTATGGTTTCCATACAAATTTTGCCCTGTGAATTTCTAAAAAATGAAACTGGTGTAAAAGTTGAAAACTCATGCTTTTTAAATAATTGAAATCTAATGCAGAAAAGTCATACCAGTGATTTTTCTCACATGTGTTTTTAAATGCTAATTATGACGTCATAAACAAGTGTATTTTCCCGTATTTTCTTAAAAAGTTGCAGAAGACACCAATTTTCAATGGAATTTTCTTTCAGATAACATTGTCCACAGGCATCGCCCACAAAGATCTTGAGATATGTGATTTGTTATTGAATTTTGCATAAAATATCTAAAAATGAACGTGGGCGACGGCTGTGGACACTGTTTTCTAAAGGAAAATCACCCTTGAAATGTGCCATTTTGAGGCTTTTTCTGTTGAAAATAGAGAAATGCTTCACATTAATGAAGTCATATTTGCAGAATGGTAAACTGTCATGCCATATTCTTTCCTGATTTATCAGAGTCATTTATTTAACTAATATTTAAGCCAGTTTCAAAACTTTTTGATGTCATTACATTTTTAGGGCGCAATAAAGCTAAAACCATACCTTCTTCTTTCTTGACATACGCTCATGAGTTTATACATGTAACAGCTACATGTTGTTATATAACTCTAATGCAGGATACCAGATTTGGGGCCTGTTGCAGGACGTGAAGTTTTTGTTTGTTGTTTGCTTAGGCTTCAGATCGTCACGGACCTGGACAAAGATGGTCAGGATAACGAAGTCATGATCCCTTGTACAGTATCTTCAGCTATGACGGAAGTTTCTTCCAAGAGTCCTGACCTCAATCAGGGTAACTGGCGTAATATGATATTGTTATATTAAGCACACGGAGTTGGTATTATTCCCTCTTGTTTTTCATCGTTCTTTAATCAATTTTGTTTATGCGCAGTAGACGAAAACTCCATCGTGGATATTGAGGTAGATGATCAGGAAAAAATCACAGAGGAGCCTGTTGAATCGGTAGTTCCCACTCCACAAGAGGAGATAACAGAGCATCCTCGAATTACCACCAGTACGTTGCCCCCTGTACCCCATCTAATTAAAGCACCTGACAATAATCAGGATGATATGCATTCACCAAACCACGAAAGTTTTGAAATTGTCAATGTAAATCAATCAATAGCCGAACAGGTATGCACTTCCTCTAGCTCTGACGACAGTGCTAGTGTTTCATTAACAGAATCTTGTTCTGCGCCAAATATTGTTGATTCAGTTATATTAAATAAAAACTGCATTGCCTCTACAATGCCTTCAGAAAGTCAAACTGTGAACACAAGAAAAAGAAGATACAATGGTGAAGAGAGTCATGAAAAAGACCGAATATACGATGAAATATCCACGTCTGATCACATAAATGAGAAAATTCCAAAAATGTCTACTAAAGTGATTGATATCAATAACTGGAAAGAAATTATAACAGCAAAGGTAAAAAACGACATTAACAATCAATTACAAAAGACATTAACAGAATTTCGGGAATTAGACCAGATGGTTACAGAAAAAGCGCGTGAGGCCGAATCTCTTAGGCAGTTACGTGAGCAAAAGCTAAGAGATCTTCAGAGTATTCAAAAGAACAATTCAGAGGCCGAAATAAAAAGAATTTTAAATGAAAGGCTGAGTATAATGGAAAGACAACCCGAATCGAAATCTGAAATAAACAGCCCTCCACCTGCACATCAACGCCCAAAACAAAATATCAGGGAACTTCTGGATAAAATGGATCGGTCTCATTCCCAGACACCTATTGACTGTTCCACAATTAGTGCATATAGTGCACGTAAAACTCCATTGCACTCTCCTAACGCGAGCATGAGTGGTAAACATTCCACTATTGCACACGCATATAAACAGGTGTCATCTATTAGAAACGATGAGCCAAATTCGGAAACAGGAATAATTCACGGACATGTTCCTCCTGCTCATGAAACTGAGCAAAGCTCTGCCATCAGAGCCTCCTCAGCGCCGGTTATTTGTAACAGGACGAATTTTGACAAACAATCCACAGTCTCAGATATCAGACTGTCTGTATCTAGAGTAAACACTGTGCCATCAAATTCTAGGCTGTGTAACGGGTCCAAACCGGTTGCAAATACATCTAGACCCAATGAGGCTTATATAGACCTCTCCCAGAGCACTAAAGACTCTGAAAGGGAAATTCAAATGGAGCTTAATAGAGCTTTGGCTGTAAAACGACAAAAGCAAGATTCAAGTGCAAAAAACGATGTGTTTAAGAGCAAAGAGATTATGGGAAGTAGGTTACATTATCAAAATGGGGAACCGTTTGGAGCAAGACAAACTATGCAACCATCAAATCCGCAGCCATTGCTAAGTGCGAAGTCAAAAGAAATCAGAGGTTATCCTCATCATGCTTACACGCAGCAACTTGTGCGACCTGTTTCTTATGTAACTGTTGCTAATTCTCAAACTTTAAATACTGAAAGAACGGTTTCAGGTGCATATCGACAGAATATACCTGGAATGATGCGCCCACACGCTGTCCGTTTGCTTGGGGCTACTGCCGTTGGAAATGTACAGCACACAATAGATGGAAGACAAGCCTTTACTTCAAACATTCCACTGAATACGTTCCCAAACTCGGGGTCTATCCGACAAGGGACACCAATAAGACAAGTGCAAGGTAAAAATAAAAGATAATTTTGATTAACTTTATCCGTAGAAAAGTACAATAATATTCAATTGTCACAAGTAAAAGTCCATGTATATGTATATCTATAGGCATCGTGAGTCCACCACAACCCCATGTTCGCCCTCCTCTGACCAGTGGAGCTGCATCTTTGGAAAATGGTCAGCTTATACGCCACATTCCCATTACAGCCGCCCGAACCACAGATGATACCCAGAAAGCTCCATATGTACAGGTAGTTTATCTGTCCAAAACGTAGAATAGATGCAACAATATCATATATGTTCTTTTGTAAAAACATGAACATTGTTTTGTACTAAATCTTTGAATATGTTTTATTTGTACATGATTTATTATTTTCGTTGTTCATTATTTTATGGTAATTTAGAGGCATGGATGAAAAGATTCAATTTATAATTTGTAATCTGCATAAATACCTCCATGCTTTTATTTTGCTGCCAGTCGATGCATCAGGTAGAGGTTGGATCAGGTCGTAGATATCCACACTTTATTTCATGTTGGCCTACTTCTGACTCCACGTTTCTCTCACTTTGTAAGCTCATTGCCTTCCTATTATATGGACCCTTTAACATAAAACCCTAAGAATGTCAATCTTTCTAGATGTTAAAAGATTAATTTCATTTTATGCATGTATTTTGGCGAATTTTTTTTTTAATTTTGTATCGTGTCTGATTTTTTTATTCATAAGAATATGCATCGACATAAGATATTTATTAATATGTATATGATAAAATATATTTTTACTATTATAAATATAGAAAGGGATTTTGTATTGTTCAAGTACTTAGTTTCCGTATGTTACTTTATTGTTAATTTGCTTGTTCCTTTTTATTTTTTTTAAATAATCGCATGGATTGAATTTAATAACTTTGTTACTTGACTCAAGCATGAATTCGACCAATGATCGATACACTGATATGTATATAAATTTACCACCATATCGTATACTAGTATGTCCAATTTTTAAAAATACATGAAGAGTGTGGTAGTAGGTAAATAGATTTATGAAATAAGTTTTGTATTTCCAACAATGCTAAAAAATCAATTGATTTTTCATTTCTTGCAATGTACATAAACTCGTTAAGATTATGTTGACATTAGAATGGCTTGAGACAATGATAGTATGTAAATAGAAGATAATTACTTTATAAAATAAAAAGACTATTCCAGATCGAGCGTACAATTGCATAAATTATGACCAAAAAAAATCAATTCCAAAATATTTACCATTAAAAATCCATTCAGTGGAAGATCTACCGAACCCATCTGTGTTCGTGTTTAATTTAATATCCTCTTGAGCTTTTACAGGTTATTTTGCTTAATATCATTAAAGCAATTCCAGCAAATTATTTCAAATAAATTTGACATCCTATTAAGTATCTTGCTCTTAAGCTTAATTGATTCTAAACTTAGCATTTTCTCCCATGAAGTAAATTAAATTAAGTATATGGTTTTATGATCATTTTATGGCGCATAACAAAAGTATTACGTTTAATTAAATAAAATGTGATAATTAGTCATATTTGTATGTAAGCTTTCTCGGGTAGTGTAGATTTGTAAGTGTGTTTAAAACATGACACTTTTGGTATGGTAAGCGATCAAATTTTAAATTGGAATATATACACCCCTACTAATGTTATTGTGATTTAAATTCAAGACACGTGGTTTAGGTTGATCTATTCAAAGGTTATAGGGTAGAACCGGTTTTATAAATAAAATTGGCAGTAAACATGCTATTGCTATAGCCTGTTTCTTTTGAAAACATGTCCTGTAATAAATGTTTCCAGACCTTTCTGAAAGACTTTCATGATTTTCAACAGAAAAAGGGTGGCTTAAGGAGTGGGTGTTAAAATAACAATATATCTTATACTTTTCGACCAAAATTAGAGCCCACTAGTGACCGATTCGCTGGTAAAAATGTGCATTATCATCTATACTGACAAACCTTTGTTTGCCTTATATGGCTATTGTTATAAATGCGAACAGAGGATCTTACCACGAGCAACTGACCAATCGTTGAATGCATAACAACGTTTACGCAAAATACTTGTTTACATTTTACTTCGAACACGTAGTTCAGGTCAATCTACGATCATGTTTAATAATATGTAGTTTGTGTTTAGTTAAGAACACCAGCGCTTCAAGGGTAAGGAAAACAAGCAGCATCTCTTATGCATTTAAATGGACAAAACTTTGTTTACGTATGATCACGTGTTTTGGCCAGGGAATTAAAATTGTATTCACCGATAGTACAACAAAGGAATTAATACAGACGCAAATCGCTTTTGCGGTATGACTTTCAGAAACCTAGACTTCCGCCGTTTTTTAACAAATGAATTGTGTGTCATTATGAGCATGAAAATAATATTTTTAAAAATGCTTTTCATTTACCATAAGATTTTCCTTTTTTTCAAGCGTAAAATTGCTGTAGTATTCATAGTAACCCATAATGCAATACTCATTCAGCTGATTGGTCAGTTAAAGTCATGCTGGTGCTGGTGCCTCATTTGCTAATCTGTCGCCAAAAAATATAGTCCCGGTTCCCATGCAAAATATTTGTCCAAAAAGAAATTTTAATTCATGACTGCAGAAAATTGTATTATAAAGAATATTTATTTAAGTTTGAATGAATGTAAAAGAGATCGATTGATTGAAGTACATTTCTACAGACATTATCAGCTGATTCTAGGATGGTGAAAACTGAAACGCAATAACTTTTCTGTTTACGATGCCTCCACGTGCTAGTCACTTCCTAGCCACATTTCCGTGAATAATTTACCCTATCTCGCTGAAGTCTCGCTAACTCTCGCCAGAGCCACTGCCAGAGCTACTCTGAACTCATCGGGTTTTATAATTTGCAGAACACCGAAAAATAAAAGGTTCCGAACACATTAGTAGGGGTGATATAGGGAAAGTTTTCTTGGGAGCAGGAGAGCCATGATGTCCTATTTACAAAGAAGCGTCTTCAGATTCAAATTTGTTCAATTCATTATTACATCTTTGGGTAGAGTATGGTTGGGCTTGAGCTTTAATGGGGACACAATATATTATCTTAATTATCTTTAATATTTAATATACTGACACGCAGAAGAAACAAGCATTAATCTACAAATGCTTGAATTTCGTATCTAATGATATTTAAAAATAAATACTGTAAGGCTAAACGCGCCTTTCAAAACATCAGAGATTTGATAACAATGTTAAATAATTATCTTTTAACTTTAGAAAGTAATAACATAAAACACCCCCCTCCCAGCCATTCAATGAAAACGTGCAAAACTGTCCTACATATTAATTGCAGCTTAATTTCTACGGTACAATAGGTTCATCAATATTGAGATCTGAGTGAAGGAATTATTCTTTGCCATTTTTATATGCCTGTTTTTTCAGATGATCAGGTTGAATTTTCTCTAACCTAGCACATTGTAGTAACCTTGTACTTCCGGTCCAAGTACTGTCATTAATGCTCATGATATGTAAGAGCCTGTTGACGCGTAATGTAGTGAATCTTTGCATCAGCAACTCTCTGTCACCTTTATTTTAATATTTTCCCGCTACAGCAATAAAATGCGTACTTAAGTCATTTTCAGGAAGCCTTAGCATCGCTACAGGAAACGAAAGAAGAATTTATTTTTTGAAATATTGCAGTATTTCTTTTTTAGATAAGAAATTCCTTACTATATATAATTATTTCCCCCTAAAGTAGGGCGTTGTGTTTCTTTTGCGTGTCAGTCTAGATATTTGATATTTACAGGGTAGAATCTGATGATCAAAAGTGACATATTTACTTAGATGAGCATTGTAGTCCAATAGCTCTTGTTCGAACCCAAAGTAAAAACGAAATATTTTACTTTTTAATTTATATCCAGCCACGGTTTTCATGATATACTTCTTTAATGTTTAAATAGTTGCATTTTTCACATAAAAATCTCATTTAAGCACGTAATATTTAGATTCAGAAAACTTAACTTCTTCGCGAAGAACACAATTCAGAAATTTAATAATGTGTTGATATAGTCACAATGTCCTATATGAGCAAGCTGTGTATTCGTTTTCCTCCTATCTCCATTATCTCAACTAGAGAATGTAAAGCCTTTGCATTTATTACACCTGCCTTCTTTTAGCTGGTCACTGCGACACGATGTATAAATTTCTCATCGGCAACATTTATGCATTGTTATCTTCAGAGACCCGAGTTCCCCAACAAAATATTGGATTTTGATAGGTACTAATTGTGCTCCTTTTTTGTTCACCTGTTTTTATATTCCTATGAAGCATTTTGAAAAACCTCGTACATGCGAATAGGAAAATACTTGTTTTGTCCTTCAATTCGACGTTGAGATATATCGACGATATATATCCATTAGGCCATAATAAAAATATTCCTAGATTCTCATCCCCGCCTTCCCCGATTTTATACCCCACCTCCATTTTTTTTTTATTTCTGTTTTTCTTCGTCTTAATTCTGATCGGGATCGTTATTCATCTACCATTCTACTTTCGTTTTAAATCCCGCGAAAGTCGACATGATTTTGACAGCTGAAAAGATGGTAGTTGCTGTAATACATGCGTATATATTTTAAACGAGGGTTATTGGTTGAAAAAGATTGGTGATGATGTGAAGTAAGAGATAATTGAACCTTTACTATGACTTTTATTCGGGTATTGTAGATAAAATTACACCGATTGACCAGGTCAATAAAAAATCTGCAAAATTGAAAAAATATAAATTAAAAGCCACCCGCCCGCCTCGATTTTTAAAAAAAATTCGGATGAGAATCTAGCAATTTATTTATTATGGCCTTAACAATAGTCATTTTTATTTAAATTTGGACTCGATATATCCCAGTAAACTTGATATATAAGACTCTATAGACTCTGTCCCACCTGTTGTATTGTGCCTCAATTGTATGACAAACGAGATGTTTTTATTTCCCAACGCCAATATCCTTATTTATGTAGTTGTATTCCACCATTACCTGCTAATGTTGTTTACGACTCCCAACGTATTCGCTAATTAAGAGCTTCCTCCGGGTTTGAGCAATTTTTAAAGCGAGGCATGCTACTCATAAATAAGTTGATGATACAGGGATTTTAATAATCGATCACGATTCGTTACCCTAACCTTTTACATATACTTCTCACGTTATCCTTTTATATCATGACAATAGACATCTGATTTGGACAAAATTTTGAAGAGAAATTCGTTATACCTTTGACAAAGCTAAGGCTTTTACTAATATTAGGGCTAGAGGAGTACAGTATGTAGGAGTGGAAAATGGGGTCAAAGCTAATCATCATTTGGGATTTGTGTTTAGCTTTGAGAGAGAGATATAGAGAGGGAGGAGACTTACCTTTTTTATTCATCGTTCTTAAATGGAATTTCACTAATTTCTTCACTCCCGGCAGCATATATAACAATTTTTAACAAAATATAAATTTTTTATTAAACAAAAGTTCATTACTTTCCACTCAAATTGAGCACGATCACTGTTCGTAATTTTCGTAGCTCATTTATGGACAAGGCTAAAATCTACAGCTTATAAAGTTCTTTTTTACTCCATCGATTCCTTTTAAACTATTTTTAAAAAATCATGTAATTTTGAAACATTCTTGTTTAATTTCCCATACAATATGTTTAAGATCTAACCGATCAAACTTCTTACATAGATTGATACTGCAAGTCATTCTGTTCATTTTATTTTGGTCATTTTGATATCTTGTGTTTTCCTTTTCTTGTGTGATACATTTATATAAAAATGTTTTAAGAGAAACATTTTTAAGAAAAATATAAAAAAAAATTCATGACGAAAACCTGGTGTTTAAAAAAGGATTTGTCAAAAAAAAATTCTTATAGTTAATCGAAGTGAAAGTAGGAATTGATAATGAATGTATTATGAATTACAGGTCTTCAATTTGGTTAAACCTTCAGATTTGAATAGAAATACACAAAATTAAGTCTATCAGAAAAAAATCTGTTAGATTTTCGACATTAGAATTATATGAGAAGGACATTATAAGAATTGTTAGTATATATATATATATATATATATATATATATATATATATATATATATATATATATATATATATATATATATATATATATTCTGAATTTCTCCAATTCAACACATGGGCATTCTCTTTTTTTATCTAATAAAATTTTCAATATATAAAAACTTACTGGGTGAGGAGCACATTTTTCATTTTAAAAGGTTCTTTAGATTTTGTATTTTTTTCTTATATGCATTTCAAATAGATCTTGAAACCTTACATTCAGAAATTTTCAATGCTGAGTTAAGAAACACATTTATTACAATCGGGTGATATTTAACGTGTCGCAGTCTTTTGTTTATTGAATTAGGCTTGGAATTTATCCACGGAGAAAAAAAAGTAACAAAGTGTCGATTTATTTCATGAAAACAATTCATGAAATAAATCAAAAATTCCTTCTTTTATTTCAAAAAACACGTTTAACAAACATTAGCAAACAAGTTTACCCTTTAACAAGGTTTTATACATTATAAGATTTACCACAGTTTTCTTTTGGGCAAATGTAACAAAAAAAAAAAATAAAATACACAAAATATACATGCGAAAATTAATAGGTTACCTGCTTATTTTGACTAGATGACAAAAACTGTGCTTATACTAACACATGTAAAAACTAGAAATAATAATAGTTGTATTCTACAAGAACATGTCAATTATGATATAATAACCTCTTTTATTTCCTGTACAAAAGAGAAATCTCAAGAAAGAACAAATTAAGATATTTTAAACAGTTCATGTTTAAACTTGTTCATGTCTTATTCTCTTGTTCACCTTTTATCTCCAATTTCACTTCTGTGCTTACATTTAGACTGTAAGATTGATTGATTGATTGATTGTATATTGTTTAACGTCCCTCTCGAGATTGTAGATGCAGATTGGTGTACTGTTATCCCTAGTTGTGACTTCTATTTAAAATTTTCCCACTGTAAACCATAACTTGTTGCAGATGAGACTGGTGTGCATTGTTATCCACGGTCATGACGTCTACGATTGGCTGATTTCTAGTTTTTGTTAATCCTCTTTTTTGTTCTTTTTACTGCTCATGATGTTGTTAGATGAACTGGAAAGAAAGGCAAATCAAAACATTAGATTTCATATAACCGCTATTTCTTGTAGCATTTTGGTTATCCTCAAGATCTGTTTTACAATGACAGAGACCAGTATTTCAATCAGTCTGAGTATTGTCCGGTAAATGACACACTTTTTTTTATTACGTGGAATTGGGATTTTTTTTTTCGCATGATCATTTTTTCACTACAGGGTTTTCTTTTCGAATTTTTGTTTTGTCTTATTCTTCCCTGTTTTAATTAATCCTCATTCAAATTTTATTCCATTTTATTTCTACGTTTTCGTATTCTATGCATTTGTATGGTTGCTTTTTACTGATAGAAATCAGAAGGTTCTTTTAATATATTATAATTGTTATTCTTTTGAAATTTTGTTTTAATTTAAAAGAAATGAACCAAATTTTGGAAAAGTATAATCATTTTACTGTTTTGTAAACCATGATGTGTCCTCTGGTTTAGATTTATTTTAAATTTTGTTATCATATAACTTTCTTATTTTTAGCAGGCCGCAATTTCTTCAACGGGTCAACCCTCTATGCGCCCCCAGGGCTATTTCCGCCCTTTAGCCCCAGTCAATTCAATAAAACTCCACGGAGGACCTCTGAAGACCATCAATAACGCCAAAGTCGTGCCAGAAAACCCTGAATTCCTTCTTAATCCTTCTCAGCAACATCAACAGCAATTAAATCAGCAACAACAATCCAACATGCCTATGAATATCAATGGAAAATGTATAGTGTGTTCTAAGTTTGCCTTGTACCTTTGTTCTAATTGTCAGCAGTTTTGGTACTGTTCCCCACAATGTCAGGTAAGTGGTTACCATGTTTTAACATAAATTAAAATCTGGTTAACTGTTTCAGCCATAACATATGAATGCCTTATTTACTAGCTAAAACACTGGGTAAGCCATCAGCACCACTGTAAGACTGTCACCAACGTTTCCTAGACTTCAGCAACGTCACAGATCGCCATCATGAGATAGGACAGGACATGGAAAACAGTGACTCGCTCTGGTTTTTCATTTTATATTCAACCTACTGGATAAATCTTCAAAACTGAGTACATGTATTTTATGATGTATTTATTTTTTAATTTATGGAGAAAACAAATAATATCTTTCATTATATCACCCTATATAGAAATTTGAATGAATACATAAATCGACCAACTGATAATCTACCTGTATGCAAGCGACTCTCAGCGTTTATTGGGTGGATATAGGTGAATACATGGTTTAGTATTACATTTACCCAGACAAGCATTTGTATTATTAGCCCATTTAGGTGATTATTTATGTTAATACAAGGTGTCACATGAAGTTTGCTCAATAATTGTATATAACTTTAAGAATTAAAGTTTACTTTTTATATTCTGTTCTTAATAATGTTCTTGGCTTCCTGTAATATACTAACTGCGCGGTTCAAAACTGCCTACGTACTTGTTAGATAGTAGTTTATTATATGCAGTTTGGCATTTTTCTTTACATTTATCTCTGTTTGTTGGGCATTATCGATATTGTGTTCTCAATATTTATCATGTTTTTTGAAGCTCTCCTTAAAAGACTTCCACTATATATATAGCATCATAATACTTTTTTATATATATATTTCAAAAATCGATTTGATGATTTTATTTTTCTCTCCCTACGCAATGGTAATAAATGTACGAAATGATTATAATCAGTATCGCAATAAGCCTCATATGTTCAAACTGTACATCTTTCTAATCGGTTCTTTAATAACTTTGGCCATGATTGCAATAAAAAGCCCTAATATGTTGTTTATTTTAAATGTCATCGGATGAGAATAGTTCGAATGATATAAAATATAATTTATGTATATACATGTATACTCATATTCATAACAGTTTTTCTTGTATTAATTGTTATTTGTATATAGAGAGATTTTCTATTCAAATCAACTTTTAAAGTTCCCTAAGTGCCATTTCTTTTGAAATCCCGTCGACATAACGACGTTAATAAATTTCCTTCAATATTTCTTTAAAGATGTGTACAGATTTTGCATTGTCTGCAGAACAGTTATTGATTTATTGCATGATGGACAACGACTGTTTTGTAATGAAACATGTGATTTTTAATAAAATAAATTTTTGAACCAATTCAGTCTTTTTTTCTTTTGTTTAATGTGATGCTTATTTTTCATGCATTCCTGCAAAACAAACAAATGGACTCGAGCTATGACATTTTCCTTATCCCTTTTAACTTCTTGTGTTGATCAATCCACGGTAATTCCAACAAGTTTAACTTTTAAAAAAGATAGGTGAGCTAGCGCCGTAGCAATTTTTAAACAGAAAGGAAGGTTCGTGATCAGCTAATTTATTTTGCTAAATTCTTTAATGTTGAATGAGTCTGTGGTCTGATTGATAGAGTTACAATTTTTGTGAAGTGTATTAACTATTTTATAGAATTAAAATTATATTGGTGTGGAACTGCATTGTATCAATCGCTTATTGTGTCTTGCCAACAAACTTTGAAAAGAAAAAAGATTTTTTATGAGGTTGACAGTATTATCCAGAAAGGCGGTATAACTCGCAAGCTAGATGTTTAGAATCTTGGCGTTATATGACTTAAGTTTTTCTAGTGTAGTTTATTTTAAAGTGTAAGTTACACAATACATAAAAAAAACCCTTCAGAATCAAACAGAAAAGGCCAGTGTTATTTAATGACACACCGAAATAGTTATCGTACAGTCTATCTATGGTCATTTTCACAAACAGCTAGACCGTGAAGTTTTCCCAGAATGCCCGACCGTGAAGCCGAGCATGCGTATTCCAGACATATGGACTAAAGTAGTTGCTAGCGCTCGAGAGCACTAGAAAAAATAATATCATACCTCTCTTTTGGAAAATTGCAAACATTGAGTATACATTTGACATGAAAGTATATTTTTTCTTCACGTATATTATTATAACATAATTCTATAACTGTGGGGAAATCCTTAGTATTTATTAAGCTTCTAAAATACTTGCATGTAAATTAATTTTTCGACTGAATAATTAACTTATTACTTTCTGATCCATACGTTAACATAATTTTTTTATATGCTTGATATATTAAGTTGACCTAACTAGAAAATCTAGAAAATATATCAAATTTGCGCTAAAGACACATTTCTGAAATAATTTATTCTTGACAATATATTTTTAAAGTCATACACGCTATATAAACGCCGAATTTTGTGTGAAACAAATTGATTAATGATTTGAAACACATGAAGTGTAATGAAAAAACAATACTTTCCACAAAATTTTACTATAGACGTCGTTGTAATAACAAAACAATTAAGCAATATCTGGCAATTCAGAATTCAGTCTTTTCATGAATATTGAGGTAAGCCTATTTATAGACACGCATGTCCACGGGAAATCCTAGACAATGAGGTATGTTGCATTTTGACAACAATATTATTAATAACAGGTTAATATGCGTCATAACAGAGTAGGTGGTTGATACTGATTACATTAAAAGATAAGTATCATTAAGAGTAAGACGCTTGTAATCCACGTCAAAAGTGAGTAGTATCTCAAACGGCCTACCTTGTAATCTTCACGCAATGTTTGTTTATCGATCTAAAAGTAGCGACGGCGTCACGTGATGGATTTATTTAAAAATAGCCATTTCTCTCCTAGCAGGGTTATAAATAATTATAATTTGATAAAATTATAACGCGTTTAATTTTAATGGTGTAATTTACAGTATTTTGGTAACTTTTATTTATAAACAAAATATATAAATTTCCACTCTTATTTAAACTGGCCCAAGTTATAGCGTGTGTACTTTTAAAAAATACAATTTCAAAACTTCTAACTGAAAATATAAACCGAATACTTGTGATTATTTTCTATAAATTGTAAGATATACAACTGGCATTTTTTAACTAACAACAAGCAATCGAGGGTCCATATTTTTGACCTGTTCACAAATCTGTATTGTATGCAGTTTATTTTTTAGGGGGGAATGATCGCTTTTCAGCTTTTCATTTTTAGCAATTCCTTTGATCAAAGCTAAATTTATAAAATATGGAAAAACAAAGTTGTAAGAATTAATTGAAAATTAGATTGGGTCAATCGTTCACATGTTAGCTTCCTTTGTCCCTGATGTAAATTGAAACAGGGTACCAGGTACTCGAGGTGATACATGTATATCTATATTTGCAACAGGAATTTAAACCTTTGAAATAATGTCGCTTTCAAATGAAAAGAAAACATCAATTTGGAAAAAAGAAGAAGTGTGGTGATGGTGGTAGGAGGTGTTTATATCAGTATGCTTAGCTAACTGAAGAAGATTGAACATGGCGTTTCTGACTTCTACAGGACTGTCCTTAACTGTCAGTAGAAATTAGTTTTAGAATTGTTCCGTTGGAAATGTTAAAATTTCCGATTCCCCGAGCTTATGCAGGTCTTCATGCTGTGTCATTTATACCATATGCACAGAAATTTGAGAGAGGATTTGATTTTGATATTTGAATACAATAATAATTTATTCCATAATTTATTAGCGTTTATCGTTTTCTTTCTATGTACCAATAAATCGCTAAAATTAAGTTGCTTTTTTTTAAAAATCGCTTTTGAGTATCCCTAAAATTCTATTCATATATATACGGTATATACTGCATGATATGTATTCATGTGAAGCAGAATTTGTGCAAAAGCTTATGCGTGAAAAGAAGAAAACACTTGCTGTGGCCTTCAACTCAACATTTAAATATATATTGACGATGTATTGTCAATTAACAATGATAATTTCCATTCTTTTGTCGATACAATATATATCGATTAGCTTGAGATAAAAGATACCACAGTCTGACACATCTGTTTCATATATGGATATTTTACTTGAAAAAGACATTAATGGTAATCAAACAACCAAGCTCTATCATAAACGTGATGACTTTAACTTTTCAATCGTCAACTTCCCTTACTTATGCAGCAATAAACCTTCATCACCTGCATACGGAGTTTATATTTCAGTTTAATCGATACCCAAGAGCATCTATGTATGGACAATTACTAAAATCTCTTAGGTAAATTAACTTAAAACAAGTTAAAACCTAACTTTTTAAAATTTCAGCTTCTCGTTAAATAGGCATCATTTTGATTATTTCATAAGTTTTGTGGTCGATACAATGACCTTGACAGCAAGTACAGTTTATCAATGAGTCAAATGCTGACTGACGGTTTTCATACCAATTGTTTTTCCGTTATTTATACATTGAATTGAAGACGGATTTTTTCATTATTTCATGATCATGACAAGGAGCACACAGCGGGTGTGACTGGTTTTTTGACTAGTTATATATATAGCCGAGGAAGTCTTTAGTACTGAACGCTTACGTTTAAACTTCTCTTTCACTTTTACATACTAATTGTTAGTCCATTATTTATACATTGGCACTTTTTTCTGATTTCCCACCTCTGATGTTTTGAGGTCCATGTTTGCTCTGCTCCTATTTTGTATTGTTTTATAGACTTTTGATCTTGAATATTGTTCGTTATCTCCATATGTTTCATGTTAAACCCACATCCCATATGTTATCGATTTTTTTATTGATATGTTTATTGGAAATATTGTATAAACAAATGTAAATAATTCAAAATTCATTAATAGTAAAAGGCAATTCTTGCTACTTTTTCAATGATGTGCACAATTTTCATGAATTATTCCCTTTTTATTTTGTTTGAACTTCCTGTCGCCTGCTATTGTTCAAAATGAGTGCTTCTGAAAACGACGTGTTAATCAAGTGATTGCAAGCATTAAACCGGTAAGATTAATCATAGAATAAAAATAATCATTTACTCTTGCTATTTGGATTGAATGGTGCAGTAGAAAAATATTAAAAGAGGGAAAGGAATCAGCAAATACTTAGTAAAAAGAATATTTAAGGCCCATATCTACTTTCAGCATAATCCAGTATATGTTACTTTCTTTCATAGGTCTAACTAATGTTTTTTTTCTGAATCCTCTCCCTTTTATAATTATTTTGTAACAAAAACAATATAAAGTAGACAATGGTATAGCTAGTGTAAAAAGGTATAATTCATGGATACCATCGTGAGAAAGAAGTATATAATTGTCTTTATATTTTGCTCAGTTAACTTTTACTGACTGTCACTTTCTTCCATTCAGAGATGAATCATAAAATTTTGATAGCATCGAATATAATTTCACAACAGTACAAGAATTTATTTGAGACTCTGGCAGATTTATTTGACTATCAATAATTAACACTGTGGTCAATATTTGACTGAACATGTATTTTTAAAAAAAATTGCTTGTGTATTACTGGGATGTACATTTATCTGTAGATATCGACTGATGTAATTATTGTGTAAAAGGTAAAATCGCAGTGAGTCGTTAGAATGCTGTATTTTATGAATACAATAAAATATGTTCAAATCAAAATATTTCATTTATACATCATTTTTATGCCAAAAAAATGAAAATTTCTTAATAATTTCAGGGAAAACTACATTGACTTTTATCTTATGAACGTATTCTCTGGTGCCTCAAATCAATATTTAACGAGAAGTAACACTTGTATTTACCTTACAGCTGTACAGCTGCTGCAGCACATTATTAATGATAAAGACATTTGATATGGTTTATAGTTAATACGAATAACAAATATAAACTTTCATTTGACTCTGACCTACTGTGATCCAGGGAATATCTAATTATTGCTTAAACTGGCAACTACATTTGAAATCAATTGCAATCTGAATACATATATAAAGCCATCAGATAATTTGAACATCTGAATACATATATAAACCCATCATGTTTTAACATGTGAATCCTTGTATAACAGTATATCGCCTTCGGATCTATGCTTAAAACGCATATTACTGATCAGATTGTGACAGGTGGGCTCGGTGTGTCGCCGTCAAGGAAGCTAATGTTCAACATCCATATCTGTTAACACAAAGTGACTGGTAGAGACCACATTATTTTTGTCTTTTCTTTTATATATGAATATTATAAATATAATTGTCATTGAGAAGATGATTTTATTTATTTTCTAAAAGATGAATCAATGTTAACCTCTGATTAAAGGGAAGAAATCTCCATTAAGCTACACTTATTTCTATAAATAAATTTT